TTACCGGCATCTTAACAGCGGATGGTTGGTGGTGTTTCTCCACCAGCGGGGGGGGGTTTCACCACATTTAAAGCCTTGGAAACTGTTGCTTTTGGACAACCGGTCTGACAAACCGAAACGAGGTTTGTAATGAAATCTATAATTATGTCCAGCAAGCCGCATTATTTTCAAAAACATGGCATGGAAATTGGATGGGAGCTGGAAACAGAACCCAGCTGGAGACCGGTCTCGGTGCTGATTTATATGAGGTCTATATCTCGGAGTCCTTCACGGCGGGACTGCTCAGTGTCTCTCTCCAGGTCTAAAGGAGAACAAATAATGGATGCGGTGTGTCCGACTTGTGGTCTGGCAGTTTCCAATACGACCCCTACAAACTGTAGAAACTGATCTGCAGTTCAAAAGGCACTTTGGGCCAAAACTGCTTTTGGGATTTTTTTCTTTTTTGTGTGCAAAACTAAATGCAACAAAAACACACAAGATATAATTACAGAGAGAACAGAATATTCTACACACACATGAAACATGGGGCTTCATTCAATAATACAAACTGAACTGCCAAGTTCAACAGCATTGGGCTGTGCCGCAGTGTTTTCTTGTTTGAGAATGTAATTGATTAAACTGACCTTGTGTTGGTTTCAGAGCCGAGAGCTAACAACGTGTCGGTTTCAAATGTCAGCGCACACACATAACTCCTTCTAACTGACATATGTAAAACTACAGACCTATATGCTGTTTGTCCAGTCGGCTGATCTGGTTTTAATTGCCTAAGAAGTCGTTTTCCTTCGAGACAGACGCTTCAGAGCAGATCTTACATCAATGAAAATCTAATTTTTTCCTCTGGGGCCATTTTCTTTGAGTTCAGTGGTTAGCAACAAAAAAAAAACTCCTGGGTTTGGACCCGACTCAAATGGTTGGGAAGTTTTAGTGAGATGTTTGAATTTAATTTAATTTTCTGTTTTTTGCATTGGTTTTCATGTGGATTTGAGACAGAACAGAAACTTCTGTTGTAATATTTCTGCACTTCAGCTCATTGTATTTGAACTAAAACTGAGTCTCATCAGCGTTAATTTGAGGGAGTTTACGTCCACATCATTGAATGCAGCTTGTTTCGGGGACTTTTTGCCTTCAGTCTGTTCACACATTATCATCCTTAAATCTGAAAGTCAGAACTTAAACCTACTGCTCACTGATGTGAAAGCATTTGGCTATTAGAGCAATATTTTTTTTATGGTAGTGGTAATAGTTTTTGGAAAGTTTTTTTATATTAAATCTAATAACTGAAACTGGGCTGTGTTTTTGTCTTGGACCTGAACTGGTTGAGCTCAGATCAACTCCTTTTGATTTTAAATGGAGCTTAAAAAGTCTGGCTAGAACTGGAATATACACTGTTTGCAATCCGATGGTAAAGTTTGGTGTTTGTTTCTGAAAACGCGCCATTTGATTTAGCCGTCATCAGTAGTGGAGTTGATTTGGGATGACAGGGCCCCACACTGTGCAGGCAGGCTTATGGTTTTCATGCTTTTTAAGCATAAACAGAGGCATCTAAAGCAGCATGTGCACACATGGCTTATTTATTACCTAACTGAAAAATAAGGGTTGTGAAAGTGCTGAGAGATGAGCACGCTCTCTCTGCATGGTGCCGCAAATGAAAACCATTGAAACTCAGAAAACATTTAATTAACCAACCAGCGGGAGTCTTGCGTTTTTGCTTCCTGCAAAGAAACTTAACAAAATTATGTTTGGACTGGATCTCAGCAGAACGACTGCCAATGATTTAGCAATGACAGTGGGGTAAATAGATCCCAGGAGGTGCTTCTCTACTCTGCGGTGCCCGATTTCTTCAGAGGGAGGTCAAAGGTCAGGGATCAGCCACAGAACAGAAACTGTGGAGTGCTTTTTCTGCCTTTCACACAGTGAGTACATCCCAGTGAGCGCTGACTCTGGGATATGGAAGTCAAATGATGTCTAGAAGTAATTATATTGTAATGAGGCTAAAAAAACCTTTTCGTCTACTTGCAGCCCTTCATCACAGGTTTCAGATGTCTATGAGATGTTATACCTCTAAATAAAAAAGCAACATAAAACTATCTAAAAAAGAGACTATTTCCTTCTGACCTTTCCCATTTATCATATTTTAACCCACATCATCAGTATTTAAATGACTCTTCACCACATCTTGAAATCTAGTCATTGAAATGCTGTTGAAACAATGCTGATATATAATTAAAGATGTGCAAAAAAAATAAAATTTTTCAACCAATTTTAGCACATTTTTATGTCTACTGTAGAAGTATTTTGACCTTTTGAATTATCAAGGCCATGTTAACCGGGTTGGCTGCACTGGGATCAGTGGCTGACGGATGTTCTCTTTGCTCTCTACATCACCATTTCTCCACATACAGAGGAAAAAGTTCAGATATTTGTTTATTTTCTTTCCAACAATGTGCTACACATGTTCACAGCTACAAAACTGTCCAGTACAAACACTGCTCATACACACATTCAACGCAAGAGTTTTCTTTCCCAGCTGCTCCAGGGGTTTATATGCTGCTATAACGTGGGTGTGTACGTTACATTATCACCATCGCTGGACCTGGTTCAACAAACTATTTGTTGTGGTTGGAGTGCAAGAAAGAAAGAAAGAAAAAAAGCTGTGTGACAGTGGAAGTTAACCCTGGATAATAAACAGGTTTAGGCTCGAGTTCACAGAGAGCTTGTGAGAGTATGTGTGATGTGACGTAGCGCCCAACAGAAACGTGACCAGGTGCACGCCACCCGGCAAAAAAAAAAAAAAAAAGCAGCTAAAACAGCAATCAAATACAAAATGAAATTTGCCTTCAATTTTGTTCTTTGTGCAGAAAAATAAACTGCATGTGTTATTGTGTTTTCATAACTTCCCTAACAAACCTATAGTATAACGTAACCTTGCGCAGAGTATATACACAGGTATATGTGAACCACAGTGCCAGATTGAGAGACTTAGCCGGGATATCACCTTATTAAAAGTGTCTGTGTTTAAGTGTATGAATCCCGTTCTCGTGTCGGTTAGTTTGACCTCGTTTTCTGAATTGTCCATGTGAGCCGAGCCCATTTTGAACACACATGTACTACAAGTGCACATACGCACTCTGTCACACAAACACACTCCCTGCAAGCCTCCAGCTGATCACTGACAACTACCAGATGGCAAAGGGAGGCTAGACAGTGCCGATAAATGAGTACACTGGCTGTGACACTGGGTGATGTATGTGTCTGTGGAGCGCAGGCCAGCCTGGACTTAGTATGATGTGATGTGTATGGCTGCTTTATGTGCATATACATGTGAGAGAAACGGTGTGTAGGGGTTGAGTCTGTGCTAGTTGGTGCATGGTTTATATCTGCAAACATCCTCTGCTTTCAAATCTTTCTTCATATGTGTGTTATTACTAAATCTGGTCTGTGTTTTCCTAAAATAAATTCACCTTTTCTGTGTTCGCTTGACACACTGTTTTACTGAGGGACGATGTTCCAGATTCACAACATATGGGTGTGCTTGGCACATAGCTATAGTATGCATGTGTTTTTGTCTATGTTATCAGTGTTTCCAGGTGACTGGCAGCCATATTGGATGCACTTAGCTCTTGGTTTGGGCTTGTAAAGGTACAAAGTTTGCCATTTTGGGAAATATGCTTGATACCACCTTCATAAGTGTCTTTTAAATATGAAGCTAAGACCAGGAGACGGTTAGCTTAACACGGCGCGCCTTACTGTCCAAAATAACAAAACTCTTTTTCAAGCTAGCTGTTTCCCCTTGTTTTTAGCCTTAGCTAGCTAAGCTAACTGTCTTTAGCTCAATATATTCATGACTAGATTTGATGGTGGTATCAAACTTCTCTTTGATGTTAGTTTAAGTTTTTGTGCTAAATCCATGTCTTAGTGAAATAAGCTAACCTGGGTTAAATTTGGCTAGGTGTTTCAATAAAGTTTCAATGACTATATTTCAATGTGAAACACGTCCTACCTACAAGCTAACGTTCACTTTTCCACCATGCTCTGTGAGACTAGCCTGTTTTCCCATGTATCTGCTTGTTCACATAAGTCTGTTGTTTTCTGGTTTGTTGCTGAACTGATCCATAAAATAAAACTGAATGCAGCTTCACAGGTTAGACGAGAAAGACGAGATGGATAAAATTCTTTGCATGAAAAAAAAAAAAAAGGAGAAATGGGAAAGTGAAAGAGAGAGAGAGAGAGAGAGAAGAAGAGCATAACAATACAGACTGGTCAAGCTGCATACCACCCTCAGCTTCTTTCACTCTCTCTTTGCTTTTTATCTTCCACCGCTGGGTTTACTCTTGTAGGAATCTACAAGAGTGATCTCCCTCTTCCTCCCCCTCCTTGTTTTCATTTCTCCTTTCCTCGCAGACTCCGTTGTTCAAAAGGCACTTTGTGTCTCCTCTCACAGTCTTATTACTGTACAGTATCCAGTACAAAGAGGCTGCCGTTATCCTCCTATCCTTGGCATAAAAAATTAAAAAATAAAAATAAAAAGATCCACAGTTCTAGGGTTGCATGTAGAAAATCCTCAGCAATCTCCAAGTGGTTTAAAGTCCAGTCATGGTACATATGAATTACTTTTAATTACTTTAATCACCACAGTTCATTGTCTAAATCTCATTCTCAGTCATACATATGTACAGTACTCTCATGGCACGCGTAAAAAAAAAAGAAGAAAAAGAAGTTATATTCCACAATTTTTTTTGCTTTGGTTTGATCATTTGATTTTTCTTCTGCTACGGTTCCACAGTCCCTTCCTCACATCTTCGATGCGGAGGATTTGAGTGTTTATTGTGTGTACATTCTCTGGTCTGCAATCCAAATATAAGGGTCCGATTGCTTCCCACAAAAAGGTCGTTGAATGCGAGATACGTTGGGATTTATGTGGCCTAATTTCTTTCTTTTTTTGGGGGGGGGGGGGGCTTCTGATCGAACAGGAAGATTTTAAATGTTTTTCGTGGCTTTACTTCTCTTTTTGACATCCAAAAGGAAATTTCCCTCCTCAAAAATCAACAGTAAATCAATATCCTCACATTTATTTTCGCGTGATTGCACATGTATCTCTGTATATCTTGCTCTCAGCGGTAAGGTTTCTCTTAATGGAGAGTAAGGAAGACAAATCCACTCTTTCATTTCCCCGTCACCCCCGTCCTTTTTATAGCGTTCGTCACTCAAGCGAGGCCTTCAAACCCCAATCCTTCCGTCCTTCAACGTATCCGTCCAAGCAAACATTGTGGATCCGAGATCCAGCCCAACATCGCACACTTCTTGTCCTTTTTTTTTTTTTCTCCCCCCCCCAATCAACGGATATTCAAAAAGACCCTCGCTCATTGTCTCAAGCCCATCCATCGTCCCATCTTGTTTCTCTGTTTTTCTTTCCTCCTGTCCCTTCCTCTCAGAGGTCCAGGCGGAAGGCGCCGAAGTAGCTGGAGGAATCGTCGGCGTTGACCATGGTTGGGGAAGAGACGGAGACGAAGAGCTCGTCGCCGGCCCTCAGCTCGAAGAGTCCTCCCTGGTAGACGGAGTGCAGGGCGTACTCGGCGTCTGGAGCCCAGCACTTAGTTCCCACCCCCTTCAGGAGCTGGAGAACAAGACGGAAGAGAAGATGAAGGTAAGGAAGAAACTTGATGGTTTGATGATCGTATTGTTTGAGGTAAAAATGCGACGCTGTACCTGTATGGGGCTTGGGTAGGAGGTTTTCTTGTAGACGCACTGCACCAGCTGGTGGCTGACGCTGCGCTGGTCTCCATCACTGGCCGCTGGGGACGGATAACGAAAATACACCTGGAAGAAGGGGAGGGAGCAAGGGAGGGATGAATTATTACATATTTACAGAAGCTGCGTGTCGCTGTTGTAAAGTGTTTCTGTTGTTTTGAAGTCGCTTGCGTGTTTCTAAAGTCTAGATCAGTAGCTGTTAACCTCGCCGTCAGGACCCCTCGCATGGGACATAGGCCAGGGAGATCTGGATCATATATTATGAATCAGAATTTTTGTTCACTGGAGTCTGGTGTATGTTGTTTGTTTGTAGGTCTGCGCTGTCTGAATGCCCTTCTAGTTTTATTTTTCACGTTACCTCACCAGTGTAGTTGGACTAACAGAGAAAAAACCAAAACAAAAAAAACAAACAAACATTTCACTGTGTGGATTTCTGTGACATTATGAGGTAGAGTATGATCACCTGTGAGTACAGGTAGTAACGCCCATCCTGAGGCACTCGCAGCTTCCCATTGGTAAGGGTCATGTTGTGCAGGTGAGCTCCAAAGCTCTGATTGGCCCATGAGCGGACCACGTGGCGACAGGACTGGTGGAGACCCGGTGTGGGGATCGGGTAGGGAGCGAACCCTGTTGGCGAGAGAAAATAGTGGAAATAGGGGGGGGGGGGTTTACAAAGAGTTGACAGGCAAAGAAATAAAATCTTGGCTCATCATGTGATTCCTATAAAAAAGGAAACGCAAGCCAAGGCTGTAAAGGTGCACTGCAGCAACGAGCCAACAGCTCAACAGCAACTGACACAGTAAAGTGCAGAAAACAGAACCAGTGATGAAATGACAAAGAGCAGCGCTCCTCCTCGGCTGGCTTTAAAACTGATACACGTGAAGAATGAGATGCATCATTCCCTAAAGCTTCGAGAACGGCTGAAACACTGAGCGACTTGTCTATAACCGTGTGAAGTGAGGGGAAAAACGCGGCGGTCAAAACCTCGGAAACCACCTACCATGCTGCGTTAGAAACACGTATGTGTGGAATGGATGCACTGTGTGTTTTCTGCTCAGGGATCAGAGGGAATGTAGAGATAAAGGACAGAGCGACGTGCAAATCTTGATTTAACTAAGATGTCGAATCTGTCCACCACATGCCTGAGATAAGCACCGTGAATGTGCTGGTGCTGCAGCGTTGCAGGGTTTACATGGAGAGTCCTGTACAAGGTATGCAGGTAATGCTTTTACCTTTTAAAAATCACAGCTGGGCGTTGAACAACAAGTCCCGGCCAGGCTCATCACTTTTTTTTAGTGTCCCCTGGAAACACTTCCCGTCGTGTTGTAGGACTGAATTTGCAGCACGTTTGTTTATTTGCATTATGTCTTCTGCAGTTGCGCCGTTCACGGTTTCACCGGTGGCCTGTTGCTATGGTTACCGGTGGTTTAACATAACTCGTGCATTGAGTTACAGCAGTTAAAAGGTTTTGTCTTTGGCTCTGTCCCTCAATATTCAACGCACATCTTTTCCTGTGCGTGCGTGCATCATTTCCTGTCTCCCATCGTTCTCGTGCATGTTTGCATATTTTTTGCACATGAAATGTCGGTACAACTACAGAAGGGAAATGTTGCACAATAATAAGTTTCCATTGCGGGGACTTTTCAAAAGCTGTAGTACAATAATTGCTTTAATTACAGCTATTGTAGCTCTGTCATATGAGGAATTTGATGATTTCAGTGTGTGTGTGCGCGCACACTCGCAGTACTGTAGTTGTGTGACAGGCCGTTGTTTCCTTCACATTAGTATCATAATGGTTTATTAGGAATAACATCAAAGGTCAACCCTCAAAATTCCTCTCGCTCTTGCGCTTCCTTATGAGAAAGCCAGGCTGAGAAATCCTCTCTTCCTTCTTCCTTCTCACAGACACACACACACACACACACACACACACACACACACACACACAAAACACGTTCCTTGCCCTTTGTCAGCTCAGGGGAAATAACATCAGGCAGCTTTGCCAGATTGTCAACACCCTGTAGCTTGCACGCCAGTTTCAGATGAAATGATATGGTAACAAACTGGTTAACGCACACACACACACGCACACACACACACACACACACGCACCAGAGAAAAACACATTACAACTTTAAATTGCATGTTGAACAACACACATACACTCCACTGTTTCCATGATCTACGACACCGTCCTAATAAACGTCTGTGGTATTTCTAAGAAGAGCAGTTCCCTCGAGGAAGAGGAATCCTAAACATTTTATATTTGAGATTAAGGTGGAATTTGCGAAGGATAAGTAACTGTAATAAATACAAAAGTAAATTTTACCCTTAATACATTTCAAATCCTTGGGTTGTTTATGCTCCTCAGCCTGCCCTTACATTAATGATTAAGAGATTTATCCATTTAATTTAAGGTATATTTAAGCAGCTTTCACAGTGAGGCAAGATTGAGGTGAGTTTATATTAAAAGGCCAAAAAGATCATTTAAGCAATATGAAGAATATTTTGAATGGATTTTTGTGATCATGACCAACAGCTGCTCCGCCTAATAATTCATTTCTTTCCTGAGAAATCAGACCGTGTACCTATAAGCCCCGCCCCACGCTCAGCTGTGATTTGTTAATGCTCTCGGTGCCGTAATGTTGTTCCTTGGGAACAGATGTTTGCGTCATTTACATCGAAGGGAGGGAATAAATACAGTTCAGTGTCTTTGATATTTTGATTAATGGTTTCTTTCTCAGCACATGCAAACAATATGGTGCAGTCCAGCGCTCACGAAGCTTCCTCTGGTCTCTAATCTGTACTGACAACACACACACACACACACACACACACACACACTCACACACTCACAGTTTTGCACAACACCTCACCTTGAGAGCTGGTGTCTCTGAGAGTCAAGTGGGCCGATGGCCTCTGGGCCACGGAGGTCATGAACTTTGACCCCGAGTTGTTGAAAGGGCGAGGCATAGTTCTCGCCTCTGAGGGAGAGAGGAAACGCAAGAAGGTTAGAAGTGATAGTTTAGATGGATGGGGTGTTAGAGTGTGTGTGAGTGTGTGTGTGTGTGAGAGAGAGAGACGCTCACCTATGAAGGTCTGTTTGGAGATGATGTTCTCTGTCACCTGAAAGAAAACGTGAGAACATAAAGGTCAAGAAACGTGATGACAAGAAAGAAACAAACATCGTTGTGTAGATTGTGTAGAAGTGTGTAGAAGTGTGTATACACCTGTAGCAGTGTCTACCTCTTAATAACACTTTTTCAGATACACAGCTGATAAATGTTCACAAAAGATTTGTTTGTTCCAGCCAAACTACAGTTTATTTAACTTTCATTTTGAGCCCTAACCTTAATTTTTTAATTTTTTTTCTGGTGGTTAAATAGGAAAAACTGGTCATGAGTATTAATCAATCTGTTATGAATCAATAGTTATCAACTTTTTCTTTAACCTTTATTTATTCTTTCTTGTTCTAATACCAAAAGCTGCACTCGTACCAGAAGTACAAACTTCACTCACTTAAGAGCCAGAGTCATTTAGTTCACTGTCTTGCAGCTGTTAGTAGCTCCTCCCCTTCCTGTCATGTATTGCATCATGGGACAGCCTCGTTTCAGAGTGAAAACTCTGCGTCACTCTCTAAACGACATCAGAACACGGAGTCCGTTTGGGTTTGGTTTCTCCTCTCCCGCCTCCACCCGTCACGATGGTAATAAACCATGAAGCACACATCTCCTCCTCTCTCCTCTCCTGTCTCTGCTTTACTTCTCCTGCTCCTCTGTGTCATCCCTCGCTCCCCAACTCAACAACCTCTGCTGCCCAGATGCACATATATATATATTTATATATATATATACAGCCAGGCCATAGAAACGTATATACACACACACACACACACGCACGCACATATGCATTTTTCTCCCTCTCACACACCCGGTAACTCCCCGACTCTCTCACAGTCGCATGCTATCGCTCTCTGTACTGCTGCTTCTTGTTTTTGTCTTTCCCACTTTGTAAATCAGCTCAACCCCCACATTTATTACCTCGTATATCTTCGCTTCTCAGTCTTTCTCTTACTCATCCTTTCATTTCATCTCCACACCACCTTAATCTGCGTCTCCTCATCACTCTTTGTAAATCCTGAATCTCACAGATCATACGTCTTTTCACTTAGTCCCTCTTTAAATTATGTATTTACATTTTCTTATTTTTTCCTCCATCTTTCTTTCTCTACACCTCTGTGTCTGCCCACCTGTTACTAGTGATGTGCCCTAAAGCAAGGCACTGACTGAACTCCCACTGGTATAAATCTCCCTGATTAATTTGCAGAAATGCCACCAAAAATCCTGAATATGATTAATGTCACCACAGTTTTTAATGGTCATCCAGCTATAACCGTGGTGTTGTTGTTGGCAGTGGGCCCGGTTCTCCCACACCAAACCCTCAGTTCAACCTGCAAATTGGATGTGATCGCTCTGGGGTTTGGTGTGTGTGTGTGTGTGTGTGTGTGTGTGTGCACACCCAGGGGCCCTCTGCTTGTGTATATTCTATATACTGCAAAACAGTAAAAGTACAGAGTGTGGATTTGGATGTGGCCGCGCTCGTCTCGGTTGGCGTAGCGTGCCATTCTCGGCTTCACGTTCCTCAAGTCCTGAAAGCAGAAAATTACCCCCACACACACTTAAAAAAAAAAAAGAGAGAGAGAGCGAGAGAAAATTGCCACCAGACTTTCTGCCCTGCATGTGGCTGCAGTTGAACAAGAGCGGGGGGATTTTTCAGACGCATGGATCCACTGTGAGCTTGCAGGACTCATGTGAACAGCATGTTTTCAATGTAAGAGTTCAACATGTCTGCTGTCTTTAACGCCTAAACGCTACCATGGGAAACGAGTGGATGGCCAGAGAGTGAAATCGGCTGCGGAGGCTGCATGCGTAATTGATGTTCCATGCAGCGGTGGAAGCTTTCTATGGCACCCTGAGCAGCTCCATGTGCAGAAGGTGAACGCCGCTGTCTCCTGGAGTTATAGTCCATTTACAGTGTTTTCTTACTTACTGTTTACATCTGGTTCGTATTTGGAACATATTGAACGTAGATAGATATTAGTACATTCGGAGCAGAGGGTCGAAACGGCTTAAAATTAGCTGCAAAGACGCTAAATTAAAAAGCCATGAGTGTAACGATGGAGGTGGACATGTTGAGGAATCATTTCCTGATTTAGACCTCCGTGAAACTATGAAAATATGAAACCACTCAAACTCAGCACAATGAAATATGGATTAAAACTGAAACTCTTAACTAGTAAATTAAATCCTCGTGTTAACTATGATGAATTTTTTCACACTGCAGAAGCTGTTTTTCACAGCGAACATGAACAAATGGCTTCTGGAGGGAGGAAAATGAGACATCTCACACATGGGGAACAAAGAAAGCTGAAGAGCCTGAAACACACACACCTGCAGCCTCTAAAGTTATTCTCAGCAGATGCGATCAGATCACAACAGCAGCAACTATGTGGACAGGGTGCTTTTGGCTCTCAGGTGGTTTCAGTGTGATAGATTTGTAGGTGCTCTGTTGCCTTGCTGGGATGATTATGATTACATCTTGAAGTTATTATTGCCCTTAAAATGAAAGGTCAATTACAACTGTGGCATCATGGAGTTAATCCCAGGTAATCCCAGGCTTTAGCTTGTTATAACAGTTTGCTAATGGCAACAGCATGGACTGAATTATGTCAACTTTATAAATCTTTAACCATTAATTCATAACAATCTAGTTGCATTTATGAAATGGGTTATTTGTACCATTTAGCTCCATAAAATGCAGACCTCATGTGGATTAGTGGCACTTCGGATTACAGTTTAAACCAGTGGCTCCTGACGCAGGCTAAAGGCTACTGTAGCTATTGTGACGTTAGCAAATAATAATATTCTGTTTTTTAAGTAGCTCTCATATGATTTTTTTTTAACCGATATTGTAACAAAGAAGACGAGTCTACAGCCATGCGGCTTGAGCAGAGACGCTTTGAGGTTAATGCTAACGTTAGCATTGCGTAACATGCTCAAAATGACAATGCTAACCTGCTGGTGTTTTACCATGTTCACCACCTTTTACTTTTTATAATATATTTTCAATCAGCGAATCACCACTAGTTATTAAAATTCATCCTGAGGGGAACACGTATGTCTGCACAAAAATTTCTTGACAGTCTGAATCAAAGTACAGCAGCGCCTCTAAACGATCTTGTAATAAACTCTCAGATAATCTAATAATATGAAACGATCACTTCCTGAAGGTGTTCTGACACTGGTTCCTACTGGATATTAAATTGCCAAAAGAAGTAAAAGGTAAAAGACATATGGAAGTTCAAGTGGACGCGTGTAAACCACCACTACAGGTGGCGTCCGCCGGGAGTCGGAGACCTGGAAAGAGTTACCGTCGCGTGTCGGTTATTTCAGTTTAAAAAGCTTCTAGCAAACGAGCTGGAATGAAGGAACGGTGGATAAATGACTCGTCAAGGCTTGAACCTTTCATGTTTCCTCTATCTTAGAACTTTTTTTTTTTTTTTTTACGTGGTGGAGTTTTTACGAGGCGGCCTGGGAGCTGTAATAAGTTTATGACGGTGTTACTGGATGTTTTCAGAATGATGTCTTCTCATGTTCGATGTTTGGACATCTCAACGACTCCGTAATGAGTCAGGATGAGTTTTCCCTAAAACGCCTCTTCATTCCCCTGAGGAGTCGATCATTCCCACAACCCAGCCCGGATACTTTGACATCAGCATTTAATATAATGATTACACTACTCCAGACGAGGGCCCACTAACACTAAGGTGCTGCACCAATTCTATGTTGATTATAGTGATTATTTTTACTCATGACAAAAACATGACATAAATAACCAGAAGATAAAACAATAAACACACGAGGTCACACTAAACAAGCCAAATAATGATCACAAACACATGACATTACAATATCAATCAGGCTTGCCAACGTAAATAAGATATTAAAGGGTAAAATTAATAAATAAATGAATAAGAAACCAAAACAAAACAAAGGCAAAATAATTCAGAATCTGCTTGATACATTTATTTTTTTTTTTTTCACTTCAATAAACCTTTCCCATTTTCTCTAAATGTTTTTTGACATCACATTTATTTTTGCAATATATCTTTCCAGAATAAAGTGACTTTGAATATAAATTCATTCCCCAGTGATTGATAGTGTGCGATCATGGGAAAGAAAATATTCTTTACTCATCCAATTATTTGTATCTTTGGTCACCAATCAAACTAAAACTGCCAGAAAAACTAAGACTAACTAAAAACAGCCGCAATTACTCAACGCATCAGTTTCTACTTTGATCAATGTTCACGTTTGATTCCTCTTCCAGAATCACTTTTCCATGCAGCAGACGTGCTGAATGTCGTGTGCGTTTTTTAAAAAAAAATCTCTGTCTTTATTTCTTTCTTGGCTACAGTGAGTAGTCTGCAGTATTTTGGCTACAACAAAAGCAGCAGGAGATTTAGTGAACCCTTCGTTCTTCAGTCCAGATGGCCAACATGGGCTCCCTGGGCAGTTTGGAAGCTGCAAAATTCAGATATCGCTCTCTCTCAAAAAGTTATATAAGAAGCAGCGCTGCCGGGATACACGGTACGATTTAGTAAACCCTTGACAGCGGCGCTCGAGATACGGCGGTGGATGAGCTGATTTCGTGAATCCAGCTGCTCACTTTAACCCCCCGATGTCCCGACCTCCGTGACCTCTCGATTAAGGGAGTCCTCCTCTTTAAAAGAGAGAGGCTGAAAAGGTCAAGACCAAATGCGCATGGCATGCATGCCTCGGGGCAGCAAGATGACCCCTGATAACACATCATAGGGGCTACTGCGGCTCCATTTACCCCTGAAATGTGGTCCTCTCTGACACGTTTAACTCTTTTAACATCATAGAATTGATGTGTCATACGTCTGACGTGCACACGCTGTTTACTCAAGGTGTAACTCGACGACACCAGGCGTGTTCCTGCAGGAAAGTCTTATATATTTGTCGGGAAGAAAAACAACCTTCTTGTTGCATAAATGACACCCTGGTGTAACATTAATCTTAACCTCAGTGGCCTAAGCATAAAGC